TTAGTTTTTATAGCACGGTTGCTGACCCCATACACAACCCTCCTCACTTATCCGAGTTTGGAATAGGCCGTGATTCTTTAAGTGCTACAGGGAGTGTTAGAGGGTAAAGCGAATAATCAATCAAATATTAGCAAATTTAAAATCCGAAGCAAACTATCAGCAATGGTAGTTAATATGTGTTTACAAGTTTTAATGCTAAGAACCTGTTTATTATAAGATTTCAATTTGTTAGTTATTAATATTCTAACTCAACAACTTATTTACATCGATCTAGGAATCATAAGAAACGATGTTCTATAAGCTGCTACTTTCAACAACTACAATCGGTGGTGATAAGACAATTCGTTCTGTGTATCGAGACACGTAGTTTTTCAAAAACACAGTTAAATTTAAGGATAAACATGTGGTTATTAAAGTACATAAAAATATAAGCATAGAGCATAGGGATGTCACAAGTGTAACGTCGTTAACACTAAAGCTAGAGTATGGCTCAAGACGAGTAATGCGTACAGATCCATCAAACGGATGAAGGACATTGGACTAGCACTTTGAAAATGAATTCGACTTTAGGTTTGTAGCCTGTTGCAAAAATTTGTTGCAACATACGTGATTTAATACAATTTTCTCACTACCTTTAGTTTATAAGTAGTATATTTTAACGCGCCAAATTTTGGGAATGGAGGAATCAAAGTTACTGGAGTATATCGGACAAGTTATAAATGTATTTAACAAAACAATCATTTTAGCCGTATTTTTGCAACGTACGAAAAAGTGTTATGAGGTAAATACATATTAAAAACTGTGGTGGCTTTGATTAATTTATGATTTCCTTCTAAAAACTTGTCTCCTAAGAACTTGTATGGTAATTATTGAATAATCCTGATGAATATTTGATTATTATTTTCTTCAACTTATATTTTACTGAAGCTCAAAATATACTAAGAATTCATCTCCAGGAAAGCTCTTAAAAAGTCCAATTCTCTCTTGAATTATATCTTACGTGAATAATAGTAATTTCAAGTTTTTAGTATTGTAAATACAACACGGAGAACACCAAACCAATCACACTTGATGGCGAAACTGCAAAATGTGGAATCCTTCACGTACTTGGGAAGCGTCATAGATGAACAAAGAGGATCATATGCAGAACTAAAGGCGAGGATCGGCAAAGCAAGAACAGCAGTCCTATAATTGAAGAGCATATGGGACTCAAAACAACTTTCAACCAATATCACAGTCAGAATTTTCAATACGAACGTCAAGACAGTTCCACTGTACGGAGCTGAAACCTGGAGAACTACCACAACCATCCTCAAGAAGGTACAAGTATATATAAATAGTTGTCTACGCAAGATACTCAACATCCGTCGACCGGATACCATCAGCAACAACCAACTGTGGGAGAGAACAAATCAGCTTCGAGTTTAGGAGGAAATTAGGAAAAGACGTTGAAAGTGGATAGGACATATATTGCGGAAATCACCAAACTGCATCACGAGGAAATCGCTAACTTGGAATCCTGAAGGGAGACGAAAAAGAGGAAAGGCAAAGAATACATTACTTCGGGAAATAGAAGTATATATGAAAAGGATGAATAGCAACTGGAAAGGATTTTCTAGTCTTTTCTGTTGCTACTTATGAGTGAGGCAGATTACAAAACAAGGCTATACTTATGTTTACAGGATTAAAAAAGACTGGTTGCATAATTAACATAGCATACATAGGTTAACGAAAAGAACATTTTTTTATTTGAAGGAGTGCCTCTCTGACATAGAAGTATTGACCTTATCACATTGTTCATCCTGGTCGAATAATTTTGTTCAAAACAATCATATTTTGACTTTCATAAAGTCGATGTACTGTAATCTAATTTCCTTCCTGGTAGCTATTAACAAATGAATTACAATCTTATAGTAAGAAGTTCGAATATTAAACGTGATATAACACGTTTAGCAGCTAACTCACCACACGGTCAGCAGCTCCTGTGGAAGACCTAATAAGTTAATGTACATTCTGCAAATACCAGATCCCATCAACAATGTAATAGCGGTTTCATGGATGGATGTTTTGAGAAATGTTGAGAAAATGTAATCATCAGTTATTTATTTTAACACATAGATATTGGCACAAGGAGGCACCAAATACATATGCGCCACACAAATCTCATTCGATATGTGTGAGGGCCATGATACTGCCCAGGTGCCCAAACCGAAGCATGTGGTTTTCTTGAAAGGCCACACCCCGAGCCTTCGACCTGAAAGTCTGATCCACAAGGCAGTGGGGCATCGTGAGGTGATGCAGTCCCATGGCCGCCGGTGATCAACGATTGGTTCATACGCCATTTGTTCCCTCAGGTTACTGGAGCCCATGAACACCATTGGTTTGGAATCCGGTTATAGCGCCGAACATTCGCTTTTCGTCTTCCCATTTTCTTAAACAACACCCCCGTCCCGAGAAGGCAGTAAGTAGGACTTCCCTGGCAAAGGCTATATACGCGTGGTCATGTGAGAGCATTTCGAGAGGGAGAGCGGACTCTCCCCACTGTCGGCCGTACTAGGGCATTTGGGGGCTCATCAGTTAACAAACTCTTTAAGTATGCTAAGTTGAAATCCTTTGACATGAATTGATAGCGTAAAGAAAGTTAGGAACCTGTTGAAATCCGCATCGACTAACTTCAGTCGAATTATAGAAAGCGCATATCAACAAAATTATCACCAAAACTTGCCCTTCTTGTTCGTACTTTCAAACATCCTCAACTTAACTCTGAAAAAGTGACAATTGAATCACAAGCCTACTTCCTTTCGAAAAGTCTACTTTTCAGTCTGTTCAAGAATTAAAAGCTTTCATCTACAGCACTTACGACTATGGGTATCGTCTCCAATTTATAAACCAACAGGAGAAATGCTTTTGAAATTTAGACTGAAATGAAGCATTGTTTTGTAATCATAACAACCTTTCTGAAGAGCTTCACTATTATCTAGCTGATAAACTTCGACTAGGTTTCGCTGTTAACTGTAAAAAAGGGCAGAATTAGACGAGATGCACAGAGACGCCCACGACCTTCAAACTGGTTTAATAGATACGCTGAGTTATTGTTAGAAATTGAAAACGTCCATATAACCTCGGGTGATGTACATAAAATGTGGAGTATCCTGTCTTTCTATAAGTTACAGTTTCGTTTAACTACTGATCTGCGTTAAGTGAATGAACAACCGAAAATCTGAATGTGATTTACACATTAATATTCGAGAGTAATAAATTACAGGTCAGCGTAATGGTTCTCTACAACGATTTATTCTAACATAATTAGTAATTCTGTATGTAAGATACACCTTAAAAACTATACAAGAATAATTAAACACTTATAAATTATAGTCCCTGTTATATCCAAGCGAAGATTAAATTACGAGTAACTTCTGAGACCTATTAATAGACTAATATTATCTATATATTCTTATGGTATGACTATTTAGTAATTAGATTATATACATATATATTCCCCTTATTATATGCTTCGTTTTGACCTATAGATTTTTATTGTGCGATTTACTGTTCATAAGTTATACTCAGTTTAGTGATTACTGTCTTTCACGTTCACAGACACTTATTGGCTTTATTGTGTATAAACGTTATTTCCTATTTTATGGTGCGTTGCAGTCTGTTTGGTTGATATATAAACCCAGTGTATCTGAAATAAATGATTAGCATAGTGGAGTCTGTTATTGGCATTTTGGACGGGTTAGGCGAGCAATGGACCAATAGGACTCTAGGCTGATCAGACTGGACGAACGTTATTGGCTTAGTACAGTTCAAGAGCGAAGAAGTCATACCTTGATTGGCGAATAAAATACGTGATAAGGAGCAAGCTTAAATACAAAACAGTTCCTACCCAGAACAGGTACACCATTCTAAGACACATTGAAATGTGTTATCTTCTGTCAGAAAAACTAAATTTGTAGATTTAAAATAATTGTCAACAGTTTTCTCTTATACAAACCAGTTTGTGGTACTGAAAACACTCTACAACTATGAAAGCTACCGCGGTAAACGACTACGTGGTACTTTGATTAAGAAATTCTGAACTACCGTAAGCCATTAACTGAAATGTTGTTGTATTAATTATAATGCAGACAAACAATCAGTACCTACTAATTAACACTTAGAAAAAATGTTAGATGTTTTTCACAAGCAAATGACTTTAGGAACTACCACTGATGACTTGAGTGGGGTTGCAGTTGATTACTACTCCCAATATTACAGAAGCAGCCGCAATATCAGATCTAATATTAAGGCGAGTAATAAGTTATTAAAATAAGCAACTTCGTTATTTTGTTGCGGTTCAATGTGAAATTCTAGCTTCATAGGGAGACTAGGAATATATACTACCATCACGAGTATGAAAGATCCACCTGGGGGAGTCGGGAAACCTTAATTCCGAACCAATGGTGTGCACAGGCTCCAGGTGCCTGAGGAAGCGAATGGAGTACTAAACTATTTCTGGACACCGACCACGATGGAAACCTACCTCAACGTTGCTGTATTGCCTTGTGGATTAGAGTCATTGGTCAAAACCTTGGGGAGTGACCTCTGAGAAAACCACCTGCTTTGGTTTAGGTACTACTTTGTATAGCGCATATACATATTGGTGTCCCTTTGTGAGAATGTTTGTGTTTAAATAAATAATATTCAACTTTGTGAAAATTATTTCATATAGGGTCCAACGTTTGCTATACGCAATCCTAAACTACACTAATAAAGTTTAGATTCAACCAGTCACGAATATATGACGGATATGGCAGACGTTGAAGAATGACTAAGCCGCTAAGGTAGCTGGGGTTCCGCAATACGTTTATACGCCTGAAAATTAACCCACTTCAGTCCGATTAAAGGATTTGATTATTAAAACAAGTTCCCATAAAAAGGCACAGATAAGCGCCGACTACTCAAATATAAAGTTAGTTTTTGAATTAATTACAAAAATTGGAACAAAAATCTACGTGAGAAAGTTTATGTAGTACAGACAAATGTATTTTTACCCGCAAACCTGACGAAGCAAGTTAGATCACATACTAAAAAAATGACCATTAATCCCAATACAATATATAAAATAAGACTTTGAGTGGTTATAAAAGACAGATGATTTATATTCAACAAAAAGTATACATTTTCAGTCATGTTGTTCAGTGTGTGGTACACTACCCAACCGTTGAGGATTTTGGCTTGGATAATGAATACCCAATTGATCATCATCAGCTGGTGTGTTTTTACTAGACTTTGATTCATTCAATGTTGAAGTCATTGTTGTGCTGAGTTGTGACTTAAGAGGAGGTGGAGGCGGCGGCGGTGGCGGAGGGGGAGGCATAGGCAATAAAGACGATGAGCTTGAATCGCGTAGGGCAGGAGGTGCTAATGGTGGAGGGTTTCGTAATAAACTTGGACGTACGGTGAAATGAGGCAAAGGTGGAGGCGGTGGACCTCGTAAGAACAATTCTAGAAACAACAATAACAAAATCATACACAGTTGATTAAAGAAATTTACTTCGAACATTACACAATGATGGGTCCGATTTTTGTAGTTTACACAATAACTAAGGTACACTGAGAATATGGAAGACAATAAACTATGGAGAAGTTATGTCAGAAGAGATTAAATGGTAGGCAGTTTACGGTATTGTAAGTATTTTAATGTTATCTTTTAGACCAAAGACTTTTGAATAGAACAAACAGGTTTTTTCAAACTTCCGGAACATCCATTATCAAACTGTACGAATGTTGTAGTACGTTTTCGTGTTTTATACTTCTTTTAACTAACTATTTATTATACTCATATACTATATAAAAGTCATCAACTCATACCAAAGCTAAATTCTTTAGAATTACAACAGGACCACCACAGTGATTGGTATATTTTTCTCTTTGTTTATCCTTTAGAGAAACTATAGGGATTTGCCCTGTAACTCCTGGATCAAATATAACGTGCGATGAAAACAGGTCACTTGTAGTTTATCGTAAACTTTTGTTGATGAACATAAATGGCAGAGATTATTAATAACATTTTATGAGTATATTTATTAGAATATTCACAAGTTACATGAGTAGAAGAAAGGAAATTCTCACAACGCTTCTATCTGAAAACTTATGATTTTAGACAAAACGAGAGACATTGAATATACTGATCATTACATTATACATGTAAACTAATCACAAAACCGCAAATGATAGGTAGTGGTTTAGTGAGGAATAAGTAACATCGAGGTTAATTACATAACACCCAATACACATGTAAAATATCTAGGAATTGGGTAGCTAATAATGGTGTCATCCATAGTAGAGTCTACATGAAATGTTGATTTTGGGGTAAGTATATCTATCATTACCACCGCTAGGTGTCCAGACAACCATTCACATACAAGCACGGACTGAAATCCTATAGACTGATTGGCGAGTGCGAGACACATTTGCAATGTCGCATACAATTACTTTAAATGTCTTGCAGTACACTAATGAACTAGACATCTTACACTATCTTATAAATAAACTTCAAGTCATAAGTACTCAGCTGATATATACATACATTCTAAAGGATCTTTTGAAGTTTATTATTTTATATCGTTTATCGAGGAGTGTTTTTTGTTAGTTGGCCTGTTTTCTTTCTAGAATATAGCTGCAATAAAAACTGATTTTTTTATCTGGAATTTCGAAGCAATTTATTCTACTACTTGTTTTTACTTAGAAGTTACAAATTATCTATAAACAATCGTTTTGTAATTCGCCAAAGGAAGAAGTTTGTTTCGGTAAAGAAAAGACTGCCAGAACATTGAAACGGCGAGCTTTAAATTTCACCAAAAAAGCAATCAGGTATTAGAGATTATCTCGACAGAAACTAAGATAAATTTACAAATACTATTTGTTCCAGAGACTATGAAGAGTGACGTTTTATGGCTGCAAACAGTTACATTGATTCGAGTACCATACAGTCAACAGGGAAACAGTTAATTTGAGCAAATATTTAGTGATAGTGGATTGAAAAATACCTTTGAAGCATAGAAAGTCAAATAAAGTCGGTGTGAAAATTAGATCAGTAAACACCTAATTTAACTACGTTTGGAGCCCTCTACGGTCAACTGCTTATTCCAAAATCGGATAAATGAGGAGGGTTGTGTATGGGGTCAGCAACCGTGCTATAAAAACTAAGCCAGAAAAAACAATTTAAGCCATTCAAACCCTGTCCTGGAAGTTAAAGGATCTTCATTTAGAAGAATGATAACGCCTCATGGTGAAAACCGAGATTCATCAGAAGTCTCAAGGCCGATAACTCTTCCAACAACAATTAATATAGGTACATGGAATTCACGGACAATATGAGAGACTGGAAGGACCAGTGAAATAGCCGCCGAAATAAGGAGATACAAGTTGATGTTGCTCAGAATGAGTGAAATCCATTGGAACCAAGCTGGATAGAAAAGATTAGATTCGGGAGAGATACTGTTATACTCTAGTCATGTAGAAAATCCTTTGCACATACAAGCAGTTGCACTGATTCTGTCCAGAGAAGCATTATAATTACTTATAGGACGGGAATCTCATGGATCCAGGACCGTCAAAGCATCCTTCAAGACAAAGAAGAAGAGGAACATAATGAACGTTATCCAGTGCTGTGGGCCCACCAATGATAGCAACGAAGGTGATAAAGACAAGTTTGACGAGAGGCTGCAGTCGATCGTAGAAAAGTGCCCAACAAAGGACCTGACGATCTCGCCAAAGTTGGGATAAAGAACACCGGGTGTGAAGATATCATGGGATGACATGAACTGACTGGGAGAAAAGAAACGGGAATGATGAGATATTTGCACATTTATGTGCATTTGACAAAATCGTTATAAGCAGTACTATTGTTGTGTGCTACTGACCTCGACAGACATAAGTAGTATGTAACCAATCGAAAGTGGAATGCCTGAAGGCAGAAGGTTAAGAAGATCAAAGAAAAGAGAACAAAGAATGGTTGCTGTGGAATCGAAGGAACAGTGAAGTCTGAGACGATTGATTGATATTTTGCAAATGAAGTATTTACGGTATGGTTATCAGATTTTACTAAGAGATCCTGTAATTTGTGTTGAAATACATTTGGTAGTCTCCACTTGTTTTCTCGTTCACTACATTGTACTCCCCCACAAACGCATACACAAAGCTAAATGGGTCTCATCGAATCACACTACAGAGAACCCAACCGATCATATTTGGGTCACTAAAATTTCCAGAAGACCCATGGAAGACGTAGGAACAAAGAGAGGAGCTGACATAGCTTCAGATCACCGCTTGGTGTTTGCCAAGATGAAACTGGTGCTAAAGCAACACTGGACAACTGGAGAAACAACATTACAAAATTTTAACACAGCCTTCCTTCAAGATGCTGATAAACTCAACGAATTCAAGACAGCTCTCAATAACGGGTTCTAAGCCTTACAAGATGTACTGAAACAGGATGAAACTACATGAAAAGAATGATCAGCAACTGGAAAGGATTGCCCAGGATACTTTGATGGAGGATGCTGGTGGGCGAAATATGCTTCTTCACGAGTGGCATCGGGAGTAAGTAGGGATGGAGGTAAACTTCCAATTTAGCCAGCTAATTTATTAACCCGTCGAATGTATTAATTCTGCGCATCAGTCTTGTAGTATATATTTGGCTGGCTTGAAATTCTAAAAATTGCCAATTAGAACGTCAATCGTATCGGAAATAGAATCAAACAATCAAAGCTTGCATTTATGTCACAAACAGAAGGTTGCTCGAACTCGTCTAATTAGACTAACTGGCAAACTGAAAAGTATCATAATTGCAGTTCATTGCTTATCATTATTGGTCGTATCATGGTTCACAGGTTGATTTAAAATTTGGGAAATCTGTCAAACTTACAAAAAAAGTTCACTTGGTGACTAATCCATCAAGCTATGTAGCAGAAAATAAATAGCAGAACCAAAAACCTATCTACGATACACTTTGTTCAACTAACTAAACATTGTTACTTACCTCCAGGAGGTGGTGGTTCAGCAACTGGTGGTGCAAGTTGAATTGGAGGTGGAATAAGTGGCATCTTACTACTGGACACATGATCGGAACTGGAACCTATTAGTGACTTGGTAGTAGGAGGCGGTGGAGGAGGTGGCGGTGGTGGAGGTGTCATAAAGAAATTCCCGCTAAGACCGATAGTCATAGCTTTATTTAGTAAGTTGGTAGGCGGTAAAACAGGTGGCAAAGGCAAACCAGGAACAGGAGGTAGACTTATATCACCAGCTTCTGTTGATGAGTGAGAGTTGGCAGCCGCCAAAGCTGCTGGTGATTTCCCCCAATTGACTGTTAGTCTATGACCACCCAAAATTAATCGGTCATAAGTCCGATCAGCCGCACGTTCAGCAGCACCTCTAGTTGCGAACTGTATGAAAGCACAATGTTGTTTGGCATGGAGATTAACAGAACGCAGCTCTCCAAACTGGTAAAAATGATTGCGAAGGTCTTTTTCCGTCATTCCATCAGGAATACCCCCAATATATAGTGTGGTTATTGTACGATCCTCAGGAGGAATAAGTTTAGGCATTGTGTCATATTTCGACAGCAGTTTGGCTGCCACTGGATCATCGTGACCGTAGTAACGATCTCTTAGATTCTGGTCAGAAAGAGGATCATCAGGATCGGTAGGCTTTTCATGCCTATATGGACATTCTTCTCCTCTCCTACATTCACCTTTCACCCAAAAAGAGCATATGTGTGGGCGATTTCTACGATAATACGGTGCAGTACGGGCTAACTTTAAAAGTAAATCTGTGCCTCCACCACCGCTAGAACTGCTTGCCGATGCTGTGTTTGAAATAGCTTTTCCAATTAGCTGATTTCCTCCATATGGAGCTGTTATGTCACCTTCCACTTCAAGGTTCTGTTCAATTTGCTGGTGGAAATATTCTCGATTAACATCATTTTTCGGCAATTGTTGTGATAAACGAAGTGCTTTATCACGGACTTCAACAGGAAGACCGTATTCGAGGTCGAACAAACAGGTCTGGCAAACATTTTTGATCTTTGCACAGCTCTGACAGACTTCAGTCTTTTTGAATCTGGCTTTGGGACCAGGGCACCAACGAAATACAGTGAAAGGACGGTCACAAATTTTACACTCCTTGCCATATTTCTCTTTCATCATTCGAACGAAGGGACTTGGTCCTAAGCATGTCTCACATAGAATGGGAAATGACTAAACAATAGATAAAACAAACGAGTGGTTGGTGGTATAAGCAAGATGATAAGGGAGCGAAATATATATGACAAACTGGAAAAAACACGAAAAGTGGTTGACTATTCATTAAATTAAACCATAAATTCTCTTAATACACTTACATTAGAATCATTGTGATCAACATTGTTCGTGAGGTTTTCGTTCTTATAGATCTTTGATGTTTCACTGTAGTTCGGGAATAGTGAACCCGAGAAATTCTGTAGGGCCAGCGAAATGTCAGTGTCCTAGCCAAACCATCCGATTGTCGGGTCACTGAATGTCGAACAATTCACTGATTCTCGTCAAGGGCAACCAACACGCACCAGTTAATTGCACGCCATGGACTGATCCATGAAGCAGTGGTCGCACTTTGTTTCTTGAACCTACTCTTACTAATATATTTCTGTAACAACGTCGTTTGTGTTGTATGGTTACCAAAGTAGACAGAACCTGGATACGACGAAAGGGTAAGCCATGTTAGGCACTAATCGTGAGGTGTGACTTCAACTTTAGCTAGATGTCCACACCATTCGCGTCTAACTCGAGTAGGCCCCCAATCATATGACACAGACCATCTACGCTAGTAATCTACAAGTCTAACACTCTAACAAAGTACCAACCGAATATTTACTTTGTAAGAAGATTTGGGACATGGATAAACTGGAACGCACTTGTAATTATATTTTAAATAATAATGAGAGTAGTAGGACCCTTCTGCCAACTACCCATACTTACTTTTGAAACAATGAAGGTTGGTGATTTTACTTGGCAACCAAAAATAAGGAACGCAGATTGGCGTTTGATCTCCCAAAATATTATTTGGAAGCCACATGCTTTAACCCCGAAGTCATATCTCTTAACACGATCGGATTAAGCTACATTAATTAAATCTCAGTCAGTCAGTCAGCTACAACGTAGGACCAGGCACATATATGCATCGGTCCAGGTTGCCATACCACATCAGCACAACAAAATGAACACCGGATTCATAGCAGTGGTTAGGTCAAAGGTGGTAATATATAGGAGAAAGATTGCATATAAGGATACAGTACAGGAAGAAATAATTAGTTCGTAGAAAGAAAGATATGAAGTGCATTTAATCTCTTAGTTTAAGGGAAGACAGGGATTGTACACACCTATGCCATTGTGATCGATTCTGAGCCATGTCACCTAGAGTCTCCAACCATCGGTTACGATAGTCACGCGGACCCCAACCAAGTAGCCTGCATCTACCAACATGGCTCAGACTAGAGGTTAGTGTCTTCAAGCACTGATGCCACGTTTGGATTTGGCTGCCCCTAATTCTCTTCCATCTATCTCTAACACCCGTTAGCATTACACGACGTGGTAATCGGTGTTCAGGCATACGTAACACGTGGCCCAACCATCTCAGTCGATGAAGATTCATAACCTCATCAATTGATTTACCATCATTCCCTAATACCCTGCGTCTAACCTTCCTATTACTTACCCGGTGATCCCAATAGACGCCAGCAATATTTCTAAGACATCTGTGGTCAAATACTAGTAGCTTACGAGTGTCTTCCACTCTTAATGGCCATGTTTCGCAGCCGTCAAGTAGAACAGAACGGACTGCCGCGCAATATACTCCTCCTTTTATTGATAGACGGATATCTCGCCTTTGCCATAGGTGACGTAAGTTGGCAAAAGCCAAGCGAGAACCGTGCAGAAAATGTCGTCAGACACTAACCCATTAGGGCTGATCAGACTTCCAAGATAAGTGAATTCGTCGAAGCGTTCGACTACTTCACTCCCTATCCTTAGTTCAGGTGTTGACGCAGGTCAGTCTTGAAGCAACAACTTGCATTTAGAGGGAGAGAAGCGCATTCCAAACATTCTGGCATTGTTGCTTAGTGCCACCAAGACTCTGAATTTTGTCAGCGTCTTCACCAAACAGGACTATGTCATCTGCGCACGGCCTTTTCGTGGAAGGTTTTTAATGTTAACTCCGTTCTTCAAAGGACCTTACCGCTGGAGACGGAAATCCGTGAGCTAAGGTGAGGTGTGACATTTTTAGGGTCAAACTTTTGTAACCCCACCCCTCCTTGTGGGAAGGCAGCATCGCTGCAGATGCTGGTTGTCCGGGGGAAACACCTTACTGCTGTCACACCCCTCTACAGTCAGCAGTACGACTTCGCCCTCAGACCTCGAGTCGCTGCTTTTAGTCTTACCGTTCTCCAATCGACCTGCCTGGCATGGTAGAACCTACAGGAACATATGTTTCAGCCAATATAGCTCGGTTGGGTCATCCCGATAGGCAAGCCCGACCACCGCGTCAAGGTAGCAGCTTGGTCGGGCGCCTGGATCTGACTTTTACCTGATTTTGAAAAGGATAGATTTCCCACTTGAAAACCCTCTAATCTATTTGGAGTAGATAAATAAGTTTTATTTGAAAAAACATGAAAAAGCCTATATTCTGAACGTCCTGCGTGAACACCTGAGATTGGAGTACTATTTAAAAAGAAATCAGAAAGTATTCTAGCGGTTCCTGTTAGTACCACTTCTGTCCAAAATTATCATGAGTGTACTTGACTAAACAGGGTTATCATCATACCGAGTTACTTTTTATAATAAGACCTGCTAAACAACATGGAAAGTAAACATATGTTGGACAAGGGAATCAATAAGATGTTTTAAGAATAACTTAAATACGTTATTTTGTATATTTATTTATTTTAACATATAGATATTGGTACAAGGAGGCACCAAATACATATGCGCCACACAAATCTCATTTGATATTTGTGAGGGCTGTGATACTGCTCGGGTGCTCAAACCGAAGCAGGTTGTTTTTTTAGGGGGTCACACCAGGAGCCTTCGACCTGAACCACAAGGCAATGAAGCGTCGTAAGGAGATGCAGTTCCATGGAAGCCGGTGACCAACAATTGGTTCGTACGCCATTTGTTCCTTCAGGATACTGGAGCCCATGTGCACCATTGGTTTGGAATCAGGGTTTTCCAACTCCCCTAGATGGACTCACCCTGTTCCCCGGCCCGGTTAAAGCGCCGGACATTCGCTTTTCGTCCTCTCATTTTCGTAAGCAACACCCCCGCCACGAGAAGGCAGTGAGTAGGACTTCTCTGGCAGATGCTATATACGCGTGGTCATGTGAGAGCATTTCGAGAGGGAGAATGGACTCTCCCCACTATCGGCCGTACCAGGGCATTTGGGGCTTATATTTTAACTCATAAAGTGTATAATGACACTTAGGGTACTAATGTATGCAATATGTGCAGTTTAACAATTAAAATAGAGTGGATGAACCTGTTATTTTTATTTCTGGGTTGAATAGGCTTTGATGGTTGAAAAATACTTGGAAGAGATATTAGACGCCTAACTACCGTTATTAGTGTAGGTAACTAATAGGCCTCAAGAAAAAAACATTCCTATTGATAATTGAAAATAAATGTAAAGGTTTTTGTCCTAACAAATTGCTTTGAAATGTGTCAGCATATTATAGCGAAATGTGAAGTGTTATTGGCTGATTACGTGTCCATGATGTATTAGTCTATTGTGTTTAGAACGGTGTAAGTAACGTCTAATGATAAAGGCTATTAATAAACCCACTTTATGATAAGCAGAATCAACTGGTCAAACGAGTGTATTATGTTGAAGTAGCCATACTTAAGTTCTATTGGACTGAGCATCACGAATATTTTGTTTGAAATTTGATAACCTGTTCAAAGTCCGGATAACAGGTGTTTAAGAAAGACATTGTAATCTCGTAATAAGGAATGCTTTCCAAACCTTCTCAAGAATCTTAGGTTATCTAAGTAAAGCAATATTAACAAAACAGCAAGACCAATAGTCCTTGCAAACGGTGACACTTCTAGAGGAGAAGAACCCAAGACTTAGGTGATTGATATTTACTTGAATGTGTAGTTGATTTATAATGACTGAGGGAGCCATAATTAAGATGCGTAGCGAAGTTGATTAGAGGCCACATGGACACAGTAATTAGCAATCAATTTTAGAAATTATTTAATCCATATACGGTTGTGAGCAGTCTTTTTCCGTCGACGGTTATCATAAATGTCTTATAACAATTGTCCGAAAACAGGATTTTAAAATAGACCTGTAGTTCATTGCATACGACTAAGAAAGTAATAATCGCACATTGACACATCCACAGAATGACACCCTAGTGTTTTTCGAGTTTGTTGTTAGGAGGACCATATTCTGAGTTAATGTATAAACTTAACTATACATATCTTACAAGTAACTTATACGTATTTTGGAGACTAGGAAATTTGTTGTCAAAACCTCTCAAACTTTAAACGCACTCTAAAAATATGTCTACTACTTTATCTAGTGTGCAGGTATTACACTGGGGGATACTTACAGAGTCTTCCCAGTTCTGACGGTTGTAGGTGTTGGCACCCTTAGATGCCGCCATTTCGAGACACGGTCAAAATTCCGCTTGATCATACTCAATATCCAATATCTTTGATATTAGTAAGTGTAAAACGAATAGTTTCCCAGTTTTCACGTTACCGTCCCTGTGCTTCATTCCTAGATTCTTTACCTCTTACAGTAAAGTTATACGTGTCGTCCAAATTCGATAGCAGTGTAGAAGTTTGACTGTTCATCGTGTACTAAACGAGATATCAGATCTTTTGCCTGGATTAGGACAACTCAATTAATATAACAGGTGCGTCCAAAAGCTAAGATGGCACAAACTCTTCGCGAGATCCAGATTCCGTCACTGGACTATCAACTCTCAGAATCCTCGACCTGTAGTATCTGTGTCAACACCTGAAATTGACTCATTAGAGAGGAGTATAAATATTCATAAAGGGTACTATAAAAAGACTTATATAGGTCTTCAGTTTCGTTTTATCAGTACGTAGCTTTGGATCCGAAGTTTGGGTTGAGACTTTTTTCATATGCTGTGTGACATTTTGTTATACATTTCCGTTAAGCCTGGTATTAGAAAATTTCGGGTGATTTCTAATTGCGTGACTGTGAGTGATTGATATTTTTGCTTTGTATTCTAGATGTCGAATGCGTTACGCAATATTTTCGAAGGTTGATAGTTGGCTAGAAAATACATTCGCCTATTTGTAAGTGAAACTTTTGTATTTAAAATATCGCAACTATTCAGTAACTGACAACTTTTTTGTCCATGAAAAATTTATGACCGAAGGATTACCAGCGGTCGAACTAGAAGTCAGGAATAAAAGAGTTCGAAGATATACCCGGAAGATAGTCGGTATGAGGAGCGTCTCCAATCATTAAACCTTTACCTGTTAGATTTCAGGCTTCTTAGAGGTGACCTAATAGCTTACACTATCCTTACCACTTCTGGACATCCTCTTGAAGACCTACTTAATTAGGCTCCAACGCAAAACCTAAGGGGTAGCACCCAGAAACTGGAGACACAACACAGCAGAACAGACTGCTAACACAACTTCTACTCCTCAAGAGTTGTAAAATGCTGGAACTCGAGTCCATGAGACTTCTCAGGCGTCCTTTAAGAGGAAGCTTGGTCTATTCTTAAGGACTAAGAACAGTATCTTACTATGATCTACCAATTTTTATTTTCTCTATTATCATTAATACACCTAGGTTCCTGCCTAGAGGTACTGTTGACCCAATGCTACTAGACGTGGAAGCCTGTTAAACGAAAACTTCTATTCTATCCACATCCATTTGAACCATTTGAATGTCGAGAAGTGTATGATTTAAGCTGTCTTTTTAGATTGGGGTTTTTCGCTGCTCTTATGCGTCTTCACTTTCAGTTTACCTGGTAGATATATACGTAAACAGAAATCAGGATTTATGAACGGGAAATCGCCAGCGGTGTTGATATGCATTGTGCTTTAGGTCAACGGAATTACAATTTTCACCACTAATTTATTCCTCGCTTAGCTTACTGCAGCTCTAGAACCATTATTCTTACTACAAAGTATTTACATCATTCGTCCAAAAAAAATTCATTTGTTGATGGTATATATTTCAATATAACTTATTAGATCATCTTTCATAATGACACTATTTTCTATCCTTATCACCGTAAATCACTTCAAAATCACAGGGCCTGCATGTTACTAATAAACATTAACATAAGTTTTGAATTTTTTGACTTGTCAATAATCTTTATTTCCTGACCAGCTATTAATGCATACCTTCGATTCATTATCCACGGCGTTGGTGCCCGGAGGAGTTTCATAGATTTCATATCGACACACGACGAGCAATAATTTCTCAAGTCTTCGACGACCCTTCAAACGACCATTGGATCTAACGAGGGAGTTTTGTCCGGAACCAGGCTAGGTCACATCAACCCTGTTTAAGTTGATTAGATCAACAGTTCACATGTGTTGTTGACGTATCATATGTTTCTAGTGTGGAAGGCGAGTATTCAAAGATTTCGTTACATAGCCACAATCAGATTTGACTTGGTTTTTGATCTCATGGGATTTTATGGGCACATTTAGATGAAGGTTCTCGATCATACATCCTGATAATAATCCACCATAGCCCCGAAAAAGGCTATCACTGTTGTGTGGATGTCTAGGGTAGTTGTGTTAGTTTTTACAACATTTATTCACTAACAAGTATATATGTTTCTCCCTTACTTGTTTCTTGAGTATATCGTTTGTGTGATCGATATCGAATAAATTTATGACGCTAGAAGAACAGAAGCGATGAAGGAACAAGCTAAGGTCTCATTACGAGAAAGTTGATGATTCAGTCATCCATGTGGATGTAACTTTACCTCACTTTATTTAATAACTGGTGAAGATAAAGAAAGTAAATAAAGAAATGTCTCGTTGATTCATGCAGGAACGTCGTCAATTGGTGGCTCGACGAAGATTTCTTTTGTTTACATGCTGCGTGCCTTAATGAGTAAGTGAAAAATTTTTATCTGTTAAAATCACTAGACCATTTTCTACACGACTTTTCATAAATTTCAGGTCATTTGCCACTTTTACCAGCAAAGTGAGTCCCCGAATCTTGAAAACTCTAAAAAAGAGAGACTGTAAAAGAAGACCGGGAATGTTCTTACCAAAAACACAGTGGAATTTTCATTGTTTTTAACACATAAATAGTCAGTGGTTTTTACTAAATATCTGTCTGATTCAGTTTGGAATACTTCGTTTCTGAGTGCTGTTGGTTTGTAGACTTTCGCAATAGAGCGTATATCAGAATAGGATAAGGAAGATAACACATATTTCGGGATGGTTATTGCAATGGTTTATAAAAAAGTTTTTCAAACACTCTATGGTAGATACAACATTTACAACTAACTCTTAACGACCGCAGCTGTTATTTGATCAGTGCGATACAGCTTGTGTCCGAATATGAACTTGCCATCACCGTGATCTAACTCAACTGTTGAATTATAATCTACTAGATAGAGACCAGTATTCGCTCACAATCAATGACCACGGAGTATAAAATCGGTCCAGAATAATCGGAATCGGATACGGATACCGCGCGCTCTATTTAAAAGGACAGTGGTATTCTTTCTCGTTGAGTTAATTAACTGTTTTGATCGTAAATTATGCATCAAAACTACTGTTTACACTTTAATTGCATCTACCACAGTTAAAGTGATATTTTATTGAGTTTTTCGATTTTGCTTCTGTGTATTTACTGCATCGAAGCATAGTTGGTCGACTTTTACTTGGTTTATTTAGTTAAGGTTTGAAAATCCTTCTACATAACCTGTTTTTGTCACCGTTCTAGTTGATTTTCAAGATGGCCAGGTCTACTCATAAATGTGGACAACCATACTGCTTATTTCCCGTGGATGAAGGGATGCAATGTGATGAGTGTAATAAGTGGTTCCATAAGATGTGCACCCGATTAAGCCCCACTGCATATAAAAGGTGTTCAAAGCCCAGTTCTCATTGGCTTTGTAGTTTTTGTTGCTCGAGCAAAACATTGCTTATCCAGGAAGCAATTAGTCTCCTGGTGTTGGCTAATAAGAAGGTTGATGAGGGCTGTACTGATAACATTGGTACGGATGGCGAAGATAGCGTTAGTGTCGTAAGTGCTATCACGGCGCAAGCCAGACATCTCCCTGTGCAACCCGCAGTTAAACGTTGTCCCCCGAAACGATCAGTGAGTGACCCGTCATTAGACGTTGGTGGCCAAATTGCTACAGCAGCAACCGGTGACCCAGATAAAACAATTACTGTCCCGAGTTGTTCTAATGTAGACGTTTCGACTGATGGAAAATGGATGACGCGAAAACGCAGAAGAGTAGGAAAGATAGCTAAAACTAATGACTGTTTACTTGGTAAGTCCTTGGTGTACTCTCAGATCAATCCGCCAAAGTCCCATAGTAAAGCTTCGTCTGACATTGTCGTGAGTCATTCGCTTGACTCCCAGGACTCTGTTAAAATAAAAACTAATCGTAAGATACCAGTAGTTAAAATACAGGATCTAACGTCACGGTCGAAAGCTGTGAACACAGTTTCAAAAGAAGCTAAACCCATCCCTAGTTTAATTATTTGGAATCTAGAGGAATCGAAAGACAACGACCCTGCAAAAAGACACGCACATGACCTGCAGTTAGTGGAGTCTGTGATAAGAAATGTATTACCTGAAGAGGTTTCAGGGGTACATATTACAAAAGTAATACGACTTGGTAAATGGGTTGGAGGCGAGACCCAACCAAGAAGGATCCTGAAGCTGGTTCTCGGGAGTTTCGAAGAAAGAGACATATTATTGAAAAGCGCACTAAAAACTCGTGCATCAAATATCCGTATTCGACCAGATCGGCCGCTTGAGGATCGAATCAAGTGGAAGAATGCTCTTACGGAGTTGAGGACTCGCAAATTAAATGGCGAAAATAACCTTACCATTAAGGGTTTTCGGGTAGTCAGGTCTTGGAAGCCAATGCTTCCGAGGCCTGTATGGGTAGAACGATTGATTTCCAAAACACCTTAAGTGTGTGCTACACGAACGCTCGTAGTCTTAGAAATAAAACGTCCGAGCTAAGTCTGATGGTGCAAGAATTATGTCCCGATATAATCGTTGTTACAGAAACTTTGTTCACCGTTGATATAGACTGTTCTCCGTTCATTGCTGGTTATATCTGCATCAGAAGTGATAGAGTTTCAAGTCGCAAAGGGGGAGATATAATATTATACGTTAGGGATCACTTTCGTATACAATCAACCATATCGGAGGCTCATATCAGTGCCACATGTGAGGTTACATGTTGTAAGATTAAATCTAGAAATGGGTTAGTGACTATAGGGGAAATATACCGTAGTCCGTTTTGTCTTGCTGATGACTTTATTCTAAGACACATCTGTTCTTGGAGTATGGCAGAATGTTGTCTCATCATTGGGGACTTTAACGCACCGCATATCAAGTGGATAGAGCTTACAGCTCCAGGTAGTGGTTTCGATAGCGACCTTTTATCTACCGTTATTCAGTGTGCGCTTGTACAATGTATCACAAAACCGACACATATTGATTTGCAACATGTTCTGTCACTGCTGGACCTCGCCCTCACCCACCACTCTGAGGATGTCTTTGATATCCAGCACCTTCCTCCACTAGTGAACAGTGATCACGTTGTAATTCACTTTAAGTTTAGGACACATGGTATAAAATTCGTATCTGCTCCACCCCGTCCCAATATCTGGCGAGCTAATATTCCGGAAATCACAAACTGTGCTATCTCGACTGATTGGTCGGTCGACACGGATGGATTGATCGAAGATGAATGGAATAAGTTTAAGGCTACATTCGAGTCCGTTACGTCGCCGTTTATCCCATGGTCAGCACGCAAGCTATCACATTGCCCTCCATGGATTAATAAGGAAACCCGGAAGCTGTTAAAGCGTGGGAAACATTTCTGGGACTTATTCTTGTTGACAGGTCATGCACCATTTAAGCGTGAGTACCGAAAATACCGTAATATCTGTAAGAAAACCATAGCGAAATCCCGTACCACTTACGAACGACAGTTAGTATATGATAGCCGTACTTGTCCGAAACGATTGTTTTCGTATGTTAAACGGCAAATGAAACGTAGTGATGGTATTCCCCCGTTGCTGTTACACGAAAATTCAGAATTACTAGCTGAATCAGATCGAGCAAAAGCTGAGACTTTTTCAGATTATTTTAGCGAAGTCTTCTCTACGTTTATTGTAACAGATACTTGTCCCATTCACACCGAGATATCAACCATTGAATCTGTACAGGTGACTGAGGAAACTGTCCTTCCGTTGATAACTAACCTCAAACCTGGTAAGATACCGGGCCCTGACGGGTTACATCCAAGGTTGCTGTCATCTCTTGCGGGCATTATTTCAAAACCGCTTGCGACACTCTTCAACATGTCCCTCTCACTCGCTCAACTCCCTAGAGATTGGAAGGACGCTATAGTCAGTCCTATATTCAAGGACGGTCAGCGACAGATAGTATCTAACTACCGGCCTGTCAGTCTAACTAGCATAGTCGTTAAGTTACTCGAAAAGATAATTCGGGTTAGGTTGCTAAGCCACATAGATTTACACAATCTGTTAGCTCCTGAGCAACACGGATTTCGTAACAAGTGTTCATGCTTGACTAACTTGCTTATTGCGAGGGAGGATTGGACAGCAGCCCTAGATCACGGTCTGTCTGTCGACGTGATATTCATAGATTTTAGCAAAGCGTTTGACAAGGTTTCACACGTAGGTCTTATGCAGAAGCTCACGAGCTTCGGAATAATAGGTACTGTACATGAGTGGATAGGAAATTTCTTATGTGACCGCAGACAGAGAGTTAGGTTTAATGGAACGCTATCCGATTGGAAGCCGGTCAAAAGTGGTGTACCTCAAGGCACCATCTTAGGCCCTCTGCTCTTCCTTCTCTACGTTAATGAGTTACCACTGTTACTTAGGTCGTCGACATTATTGTTTGCGGATGATGTAAAAATCTGGAGAACAATAAAAAGTGCGGCTGATCATGTGGATCTTCAAGCTGACTTAGACGATTTAGTTAGATGGGCTCGAGAGTGGGGCTTAGAAATCAATGCTAGGAAGAGTGTACTAATGCACGTCGGTCACGGTAATAGTTACCGTTACACTATTGAGGGTAAACCTCTTCCATGCGTTCAAGAGCATAAGGACTTAGGAGTAATATTAAGTCATGATTTAAAAACAACTGCGCATTGCAAAACAGCCGCTGTCAAAGGTTTTCGTGCGTTATGGTCACTTCGCCGAGCGTTCAAATCTTTTGACGAGGAAATGTTTCGAATTTTATATCCCATATATGTTAGACCACATTTAGAGTACTGTATCCAAGCAGCTAGCCCGTGTCTGGTAAAGGATACTAACTCCTTTGAGCGTGTCCAGCGTGTAGGAACGAAATTAGTGAAGGGTCTTTCTAGACTCCCTTACGATGAGCGCTTAAAACGCCTAAATCTTTTCCCCTTGTCGTATCGTAGGACACGAGGTGACCTTATACTGGCATTTCGTATCTTGAATTATGATTTGAGTGTTAATTTCTTATCTTTTTGCTCCCTCCAGCACTAATAATCTCCGAGGTCATAGCAAGAAGGTTCATAAATCACGATCTAATAAACTTAAAGTGGGATCCCGTTTTTCTCATCGAGTAGTCAATCGTTGGAACGCCTTACCCGAACAAGTGGTATCAGCCCCATCAGTGAATACTTTCAAGGAGAAGCTGGACCTTCACTGGAAAGCAATGTGTCAGGATTAATACAGGTTCACCAATCTACTATCCTTATTACTGAAGACTGGATCAAATCTTATTAGTCTGATCTGATAGAAAAATTATCACAGAAATCTAACACATGAAGACTTGATGTGTGCTACACATGGAACGGAAGCATAATTGCAAAGTTTTAAACGTCGAATATGACAACTACCGACCGAATAAAACACTAGTTTGGCCAGTAGTATTTCTGCATGTTGCAGCTCAGTGAGCACATTCAAGTATAACACACACATGCTAAGTTAAACAAATCATGTAAATGATGAATTTACTTGATCTTAGCCCCAAAATGGTAGCTTTTAGTGATAAGCATGATTTAGTGCCACTGTAAGATTCAGTGTTGACATCAGAATTGTTAAACGTTAATTTATAATTGATCATGTTATTGACATATCAAGGGATTAACTTATAAGACATACAAATACAGATACAAGAGCCAACTAAACATAGCAAATAACTTAATGATACACTGCTGACTTCTGTTAGTACTTTATACCTCGCTCTTCTACACTCCAAACGAATTTACTAGATACCTTAGAAGACATCTACATCTAAAAACCCAAATCATATTTTTCAAGATAAAAATATCCTGCTCATTGTGATAACACCTGATTTTGTGATACTCAATACTAGTAAACCGGTTTGTCAAAACTGTCTCAATGTGACCATCTTACCAGTCTTTAAAATTAAAATGTGTGAACTTATTACGAACTATTATATTGAAATAGAAATACGAACGGTGCGTTACTTTACCCAGTTTCCGGAGGCATACCAAAAATAGGTACTCTCGTAAGTCACTAACTCTTGAAAACCCAACACTTTGGAATCCGAACAGATCATGTTTGTCAAAGACTGACCTGTCGATTCACCAATTGACAAACTTAATACACTAACAGTAGACAACACAGCAGAAATGTCACAGGACTCTACACCAAACTCATGATGCTACAAACATTGAGTATGTTAAATAATGACACCCTCATCCCCAGGCTCCTTCATGTTCATTGACAATAAAGATCAGCTGAAATAACCATAAAGAAACTGTTGGCAGGACAAACCAAATAAATGAATTGATTTGCGCTCAACGTTTATTTTTAAAGTAACTGATGAGTGGCGGGTAAATGGTAACCAGAAAAGGTTTAATGGACACATCACAAATTTTTTTAAACTAGAAAGTACAGTAGTAATTTAGGGTTCTAATTATATTACTTTTGAGAAATACAACATATGATGAAATATACCACTTAAATACAAAGGGAGATACCAATAATATTTCACAAATGCGTGTATGTCAGCTAGTTTAGGAAAAAGAGAAAATCATAAACAGCTTTAGGAACATATAGAAGTCGAATTATTCAATGAAGTTGAGGAGGTACGAAGGAATTTTTGGAGAAAAACTATGAAAACATTTTACGTTGATCAAATAACACGAGATCTAACCGACATAATGTACAGTGTGGCTGATATCATAGTAATATATTGTTCGAGTCATCCTTGGAAGAAGTAGAACTTTCAATACGAGGACGCTTGAACGAGTTTTGTGAGTTCCCAGTGCTACTGGTCACTGAAAATTTGGAGAGCGGATCAAGAAGATCTAAGGAAAAAATAAAGGTATATATATCGTTATAATCCAGTAGTACGTAGAATGGGGAAGTTAACAAAAAGTGAAAATATCAAAGATATACAAAGCCAAACAGATTCAAACGGAAAAAAAACCAAGTGACATTCTAGTAAAAGCTGGTCACCAGCATAGATGTGGATACTGGAAAACAAGTCAAGTACATCCTGAAGCAATTAACACTGACCTTATAAGCATAAATCAGTAATTGCGTTCTAATTTTGGCCAATCGTATTTAATAAAGACACATAAACTCCTAGACGGTAGTTCTTGAGGCTTTCTAAGATAGTCGGCTATCACCATGAAGCGTACCAACACTTTAGTCTGAAGATTATTCTCCCCATAGCAATATTTATCCGGATTTTCCTAATTAACGATTCAGTAGTGGGGTTGGTAACCCTGTGCCCAACTCTTCTTCTTCAATTGGGCTCGTGACTGGCATTAGCCCCAAAAGGGTTCCTTTAAACGCTAAAAGTCACTAAATTTAATTTGAAAATTTATGTACATCTATATTTGAAAATAACGATACGTGATAAACGTACTTATGATCTGTACAGCATCCTGAAAGACATTGAATGGATCTCGATTGATTGATTCATCATGATAATCAGTAGAATTACAGACACGGTTATTCGCTACTTGATAATTAGGTAGTATGCGATGATGACGCTTTCTTCTCTGGGTCAATCCATCACAAACTAATTGTGAAATGCTTGAATGATTGACGAATGAACTGATAGGGGGTATGAAAGCTGTGAATTAAAAGGTAACACACAATAACCTTGTTTAAAATTAATTGAGTTATTTTATATTACCGGATAGCTTATTTAGTAGTAAAAGTAATAACCATGATCAATAGGACTTGACAATCATGTTTATACTGATGTACTGGCTTTGTAGATAACTTAGTTGTAATACCGAGAGGATTTGGCAGAACTAAGTCAACACAGCACGTTAACTTTGTCAAAATTATTATATTACAAAAGTGAAATTCATAACCAACAGAAATATAATAAAAAAAGTGTAGATTTTGATGCAGCGTTCTTAAGATTATCGTATGTTATAGTGAAATTTCCAAGTTATTATGGAGTCATGGTAATGAGGTAACTGCATCAAACAATAACATAAACTCTCTTTCCAAACATTATTGTGAATAGTTTCCAGTTAATCATACATGTAATTATTAGATGTTACACTTTTGCTAACAACAGACACGTAAATCTTCAGTTTTAACACAAAATAAGCATAAAAGCGGTAAATAAACACGGTTGAATTACAAAAAGCATATAATATAAACAACCATTTAAAAATACAGAAAACTCATTAATCTAATCTACTGAGAGAAAAACACCGTAAAACTCAAAAAAATGCATCTCACTACTTTATAGTATCCATGAGCATTAAGTATCATGGATTCTAAAACAATGCCAATTTAGTTAGTAAAAAAATTTTTTTAACAAGAAATTAAATTTTCCTTCTCGTTTATTTAAATCTTTTTATAACATTCCACTCGTTGAAATTCTAATTAATTATCTTTAATAATTTTGTTTAATGATGCTGCACACTTTAACTTTATAATAGACTTCCGCATATACAATTAACTATGAATACGACTAAACAATTTAAGAACATCAAATGATGGAATAAAAACTTAAAAATTTGGTTACCATTAAGTAAATCCATGAGCTAGGTAAGCAAAAAATGGGATAAAATTATTTGATTCGATCATCGGGATACTATGATGTGAAAAGACCACTTACTAAGAATCTATTTCATGAAAGGAAACTGAGTGAGTTTTACGTTTCTGCTCGACCAATAAAATTTTTTATCTTGTGTAAACAAGAAGTTTGTGATGGATAAATCAGTCTGTTTTTGACGTGCATTGAGTTGTGAATAATTAGTGATTGAAGCAATAAAAAACTCAAAAATAATTATGAATACAACCTATGGAGTGAACGTGACAAATTTGCTTATTATTTTTGATCGTCGCGCAATCTTACCAACCGAAAAATAACTACCAAAAAAGAGTAGGTAAGGTGGTAACAGTTTTAGGTACATGGTAGATACGATAAAAAAAGTTCAAGATAAGCAAATTAGTAATTATTGAAATTAAAATTCAGAACGTTTAAAGTGAGACTGAAAAATATTCAAGTTAATTTATGGGTTCAAACTATACGGTATGAAGCAATATATGTAGCATCGAAGGTGATCGTAACACATTCATCAGAACAAGCTACTTTGGATAAAGTGAGCTATTTTAAGATCAGTATAGGGTTGTAGAAATTGTTGAGTTTTATTGATATCACGAACCGATCTAAGTTAGACAACTACTGTAAACTTGGGAGCACTAAACAGTTGTTTCACCCTATTATTGAACTCCTCAGGAGGAATAACGTTAAAAAAAACTGTGGTTTAAATTTACTGTTCATATCTGCTTCTGCATCAATGGTAAACTTTTCATAACTTCTCCCTTTACACTATTAAAACCTATCGTTTAATAATATTAATAAATTTAAAAGTGAAGCGGTCGATTATCGTTTTAAGATAGATATAAAAGCCAGTAGTTTGTTCAGTGTTTACTTAATAAAAAGTCCTAGCGATTACGTTATCATTGGTTTAGATTCAGCTTCGAACGTGGTTACATTTAGAGATCATGTTTCCTAAAATCCTGTTTCTTTGTATTATTGAGAGAAAATATGATGCACCTAGAGGTATTGGGCATACATTTTGATAATACCTGAACCGACCACTATCCATTTAATATCTGTGGCCATGCCTTAGAAAATACTGTTAATATTTATGAAAAAAACAACAGCCGTTATCACGTCAACCTTTCAGATGTGCGCATCCATGACTCCGTAATCGAGGGTTGAAATCCAGGACTTTTGGTCTTGCATACGAACACTTAACCTCTAGACCACCAAATCGGCGTACAAGCCAAAATTTAGTCGATTCACGATATTGTGCGACCATGCTCAATTGCCTTCAGTGGTTAACATAACTAATACTTTCAGGTTTTTTAAAACTATCGAGTTGGTTTTTTGACAACGTAAACAAATTTCCACTACTCTATGAAACGACTATTTATATGATAAGCAAATAACCCCGTGTCCTGGTAATGTCTTTCCGAATAGTATGTTGATTCAAGAACATGGTAAAAGTGGGTAGATCATTCGAAATTTTATAGCTGTTGGTTTGGATAAAAAGGAACTTATCTAATTAAGAAACAGTTATAATAACCGAAAACGAATTTGAAGAACAACCAAACAATTGATGGGTCTTTAATAACAGATGAATGTTACCTACCTAATTACTAAAAAATAATTAGATCCAAGAATAATCATTAAAGACATTATTGAACATGTCTGCCATCAGCCAAGGAGTTAAGTCAATGTAATTAAGAAAAAAAGGTCAAGAATACCGTCCGAAATAAAAGTTATCGACTGCACAGATGATTGTTATGACCTGGAGTACATCATCTTCCATATAACACTATTACATACACAACAGAAACCCTTAAACATGATTATAAACGTGCTTTATAATTCCATCTAAACAGGGATAATAAATTTATGTTCAAGAAATATATGCGTGTTACCCTCGTGGATCCTACTGTCGAACCATTAGCTCTTAAACAGCCTAAACGATTTAGAGCCGAACAAAATGAGAGAATATGTGTTACTCACGAACTTGCTTAATGATTCCGACAGTGATATATTAAATAAATATACAAACTAAGTTGCACAAGAAATATGTTGAAAAAAGAAACAGTTCAAAGATAGTCACAGAGTTTACTGATCCCCAATTAAATACCAAAAACTAACTGACAGATGTACTGAACATGGAATCCATAAATTTTAGATTAAAAGCGGCTACATTTAATAGTTAATTAATTTGTCTTTTCTATGTACAGTGTTACATCTCATTAGAATAGTAGTTTTTAAATCATTCATTCATAAGACGTGAAAGGAATAATTTAAATTCTTTATAATGATAATTTTAATCCAGCGCTACCGTGTACATTTCCATTATTTTCTACTTTATAAGCTTGAAATTGTTATAGATTAGAATTTTAAGATTTCTAACTGAAAACGTTTGAGGATTGTTAGATTAATGGATACAACGTGTCAATCGATTGGTAATATATTATGATACGATGTGTCCGAGTGATTGTTAACGAACCTGATTATTGACTCACTCTCTCCGAATGAATTAATATCAAAGATAAGACAACCAACTACCAGAATAGAATTACTCAATCTAATAAAATAACGTGTTCATACATGGGATAATAACACAAAAATAAATATGACTAGATGTTATGAACAATTAACCAATATCATTTTTGTAAGTTACGCACTCTCCTGACTATCACGACTAATTTTTGGTGCGTCATAATAATTTATGCTACAAGGGAGTTTTTCAAACATTGTTCCTATGTCATTTATTTAAATAGACCTATTGTATTAGAGCTACGAAAAATATAATTTCAGTATGAAGTGGGTTGACAAACACTTACATGAATAAAACGTTTTCAGTAACCTACGTTAAATAGTATGAGTTCATAAATTAAAATATTGAAAAGTACTTGGTAATGGGTAAGTTTGAAATACATGTTTTATTCGCATAATACTGTAGAATTTAATTAAAAACAATATAAAGAGGTCATTGTAACGATAGTATTAGCTAAAAAGGGCTTATGGTTTCATTAGTATACTCAATAAATAAAAGATCATTAGATCTTACTTAAATCTAGGACATTAACAGGTAATTATTAAATCTGAAGAGTAACATAGAGCAACTGGTAAAACACCCAGAGAAATCAGTTTCTTGAGCAATTGTTTTTGAATTCTTTTAGTTAATAAAGGGTAGATTAGGACGAAAAGATGAAATTAAACTGACAGACTACTTATTATACCAACAGAGTAAAAATAGTGGTACTGACAGAAGTAGAGGTTTGAAAACATAAGAAGCGTATAGACCAGAAGGATGTTTAAATAGTAAATATATCTTCACGTTTGTGGGATTTATAATATCTCTTCTCCAATTATTAGTTAGAACTGTCTCATGAATACCGGCTAGAAAGCCTATATGGTTCACACCTAATAAATTGATATCATACCTTAATCAGGCTACACTTAATTTATTTACAACGGATAATAGGATACTAAAAAGTGTATCACATAGACTTATCAAGCATAGTCAGGAAATACGTGCCTGGAAAAATGCTATAACTACCAGCGTTGATGAATGTCCACATATTTATAAACTGAATAACAACCGTTGACTAGTTTTGCAATTGATGGCAAAACACTTTACACAATAGCTTTAATAAAAAGCAACGCCATATAACAAGTACTTATGGCCAAATACCTGTAATATATCCATGTTTTCTTGCTTTCAACGGCTGAAACTAATAGGGCACCAAGAAAGGAACGCATAAACGAAAGCTCCCTGTAAAACCACGTGATAGTGGTGAAAGTGAAGATGGATGTGGAAAATTACATACAGTTTATGGCTTCTAGTTTGCCATTAGTATTTACAGAATGGAAGTTAGATAGATTGTTATGACCGACGTATCTAAAAGGTTTCTTAGAACATTACCGTGAGTTTTATTTTGGCTAATTATTATTCTGTACTGGTACAGATAACTAAAACATCCAAGCCTCCACTTTTCAACAAGTATAAGTATATAGTATACATGACCATCTAGTTTAAAGCTTGCACCTGGGATATGAGAACCCTAAGCACATCCATTTCTCCTACTTTCAGTTATAGAGCTCCTAACAATTTTTCTTATGGCTGTTATTTTTCTCTAAACCATATGATAAAGCAAATGAGTTCGAGACTGCTGTGATCAAATCAATATATCTAACAATATTAAATATGAGCACAAACGAACCCTTGGAAGTAGTTAGAATGAGTAGACAGTTAACATTTGACAACATAAAAGTAAGAAATGTCAAGTTTTAGACGTAAAAGAGAAAAATTATGACGGTGATAACAGAGCAAACAGAAGTGGTAATATTGCTAATAACCACGAAACGTAATGTTGTATACCTTTTGATGCCGATAACGAACTAGGCACTATCGACTTTACTACTTCATCGTTGTGTCTGATAGATCCATCTCCATTGAGACCATCAATGACACCATACAAATTTGAATCATCTAAGACGGTGTTCATAACAGGAAAGAATGTTCGTTTGTTTTTAGAGCATCTATTACGACAACGCTTGTGACCGCAATAGTCCAAAGCAATTCTCTTAGATAAACGAGGACAATAAACACAATGGCGTGGACGCTTTCTTTGGAGTTTCCTGGAACGACCAAGTGTTTTAGTGCTCCCAAGCAATAATGATTCCAAAGGCACATAAACTTCAACCCCATTGTCCCCTGTAGTAGTTTGAATATTCTCATAAGCTAAATCTCTCAAATGAAGGCGTAGATATTGAGAACCGACAATTTTTCCATAGCTTAGTGCAGCTTCTACAGAATTCTCAGATCCTAAAGTAGTAAAAAATTGTGAAGTTCAGACATATTACATTCGATAATAAGAGAAGCATTAATGAACGGTTAGTATAAAGTCATTGTTCTACATGCGTTGTAATGAAAAACTATAGTGGTTTTAAATAAATGAAACCACAAGCTTTTCACAGCGAATTTAGATATTAGAAATATCAATGAGTAACCCATTAACCACGTGCAAATCTATGTTAGATTAATAGTTAGTAGTGTGACTAAGGATATGAAATTATCTGCAATAACTGAAATAAGAGCTTCATGAAAATAACTAGTATTTGTTTAAGGAGTCGAATCAGCTTTAAAGATTTTAACATTGGGTGATGCGAAGAGAGAAGGCTTAGAAATTACAAGTATATTCCTTATATCAAGAACTATTTACTAGGAACAGATGTGTCGACCTACCTATGAATTAGCGGTTAAGAGGTTCGACCTTCAGCTACTGAGTCCTAGGTTTATACGCCGTTCTATCTACTTTAGTTTGGGCTTTGATGAAGTTTTATTCTCTGAGCTGGGTGGTTTGGTCGTGGAGCTTTCATCGTTATTCTTAACGACATCAGCAGCACAAACTTCTGGAAAATTGGAGACTTAAGTATATCGGAATCCGACCCACATATATCAAATTCTTAACTACAGAATCAACAACTCAAGAGCTCGCAAAATCAACTGCGTACAAACTCAGAAACAAAATCGAACACAGAAACCAGTAAACAGAACATCCTACCATATATAAAAGGCATGTCAGAAACTACGAGATCGTTAAAGCCTTTTGGAATAGGTGTAGCACACGAACCAACAAAATCACTTCAATCAATCCTATGCAAACCAAAGGACGAAATGACGAAAGAAAAAAAAACGAAACTCATCAACAAAATAAATTGTTCCAATTATGAAAAACACTACGTCGGATAAAGTGGAAACCCTCTTCATCTTCGCCTGTACGAGTATCAATTAGCGCAACGACATATCCTCGCTTATACCAATGAATGTGGACACACATTCGACCGGAAAAATGTTGAGATCTTGGATAGAAGTAATTCTAAAAACACCAAACAACTTTCAGAAGCTTGGCACTTAGGTCGATCAGCAATCAACAAGCACATTGAAATTGATCCAAATTACCAAACAGTCAGAAAAATTATGAATAAATATAGGACCGTGAACCAAATCAATGAGAGATACAATCAAAATAAAGTAAACAATGACAAGTTAAAGGTCAACAATAAACAATCAACATTGAGGTCTACAGGACAAGCTGTGAGTCATATGTGGAGAAGTTCGAACATTTCACTTCTACCTGAAATTTGTGATGTCGTTCAGGATAACGATGAAAGCTCCACGGCCAAACCATCCAGCTCAGAGAACAAAACTCCATCAAAATCATCCACTTGAGCTAAAAGTCTTCTCCACCATCTCAAAACCACATGAGCGTAGTACTTTAGTTTGGGCTACTAAAAAACATTATTAACTTGGTGGATACGTTACTTAGGTTATTTTTCATTCAATTAAAATCAGAACAATGTTTTACGGTAGGAAATGATTACTTGAGTCAGAATATTAAATTGCAAAGAAGTACCACTTTGTACGATTTATACTCGTTTTTAGATATGATTTAAGGTAATAGGGAACGCTAGTTGCCGTGGTTCGACTTTAAACTTAGTTTACACGGATTTATGAGTTAGGAAATACTAAATTTAGTAAAAATATGTACCGATTATCGGGTAGAATCATCTTCCAAGGACATGGGTAGGAGCCACGCTTTAAGTCCGCAGGGTGACAATGCCCTCCGGTTGCCCAAACAGAGGTAGATAGGCGCGGGTTCGAACCTGAGGTCGTAGTGGCTGAATGTCGAACCCCTTAAACACTAAGCCATTGCTCTACAATCACTGGATAGAGGGTGGGAACAATACACTTTAGTCAATTTGACTAGTGTATTTCATAGGCTTATCGCATCATGACTCATTTTGTCATCTACAATCTTATTCATTTACTTGTTCTGTTTTGATGCATCTATGAGTTCTTTCTTTAATCATAGATCTAATGACACGAAGCAATATAATGTATGGGGCATTCGTAGTTGATTTAATAGAGACCTAAAAACAGAAGCCAACGTTACAACTAATTCCAGGAAATGGGGATCTAGCATTGATTCTTTGAGATGAACAAAATACGTTTGGAGAGACTTTCTTTGAATCTTCACTAGGTTTTTTTCTGACATATTTTTGAGACGGACTACAAATACAAGATAGAAATAACACTGGAGGTTTATATACCTTGGATACGAGAATTAAAGCATGAGTGCAACTGAAGTGGTTATCGACAATCAGCAAAGAGTGAAAGAAACATCGTAAAGCGCCGTATATATTTGTGCGCAACACAAAACGCATAAAACATCACTGAGAAATATATATTGTGGAGCGTCCATGGTGATCGAAATAGTTCGCAATGATAAAATGGAAAACTAGTTTGTCAAACGAATTGAAACCACAAAGTTACAATGGGTTTTAAAAGATTTTACAAGCAAAGAACAGCGAGCATTGCGTAATTATTCTTTATGGTCCTAAAACTACCGTCGTAGTGTGGAACGTTCCTTAGATATATAGTTTTGGGATGTGATGACGTAAATACAATCTGTCTTAGATGCCAGATACAATAAGCTTAGGAATACTAGGAATTTTTGTTCAGTAAAATGCTTGAAAACCATATGGTCGATGCGACGCTTGCACAGCCAACTCTTTACCAAGACATAGATTAATACACACAAAATAGTGGAAGACAAACCTCTATAGAACCTTTCAATCGAAGACAGCGTATCCAGTAAATTTTGAAAATCAGCACAGTGATCAATCTTGCCTACAAAGTATTACTGACTTCGAATTCAGATTATACCTTTATATAATTGGCATAAACCGCTTGCAGCACTTGCAAAAAATTCCCATACTTTTATAATTAATCTGCTGGGATCATGATCCTGCGGAGTATCACAGTTGGAAGCCATACAGGGAAAAAAATACCGAAGTTGGCACAGCTCGAAATCACATAATTTTGATTGGATTAAACAAAGTAAGGTGTTCGGTTATTTGCATTTACATTATCTACTTGTAAAAGATGCCAAGTTTGATTTTTATCAATCATTATTAGTGAATACTTGAGAACTAAATCATGATGTGCACTAGTTATTAAAATTTGTTGAACCTTTAGTTAATGTATAGAGCTTTTGGTTGCAAGTATGTCCATTCGTTGAAATTCGACTCTTAGTTTGGCTTGACAGGATCAAGTTTTTGATAACTTAAGTGTAATCACGGATGCAGGGAGGTATGTTATTCATTACTTTTAGAAACTAAGAAGCAAAATAATTTAGTTAATAATTGAAATGATAGACTAGTAACGCTCTGAAAGATATCCATTAGTACCTACATGGCTAAAATTATTGTGGGACCTTCATTTAAAAGATTCAACAGAGGATATCATCACTACAGTTCACCGCAGATAATTTCATAACTGATGATTCCTTTGTACTTGATTGCCCACTTATTACGAATTCAAAATATAGTACGTTCATTAGTAATAATCTAATATTATCTCTCTTGAAATGTGTCATTTAGGGAATTCTTAGACTGAACATTAGTCTGAATACTTCAAGTTATCACACTGACGTCGCATTGGAATCGAATCTTTGACAGTTGGATAATAATCCAAGCTGAGATGACTTGTAGCGTGACGTCGAGTTGAGATTAACTATGAACACCGCTACCAAGAAACACGTGCCAAATAAATCAGAAGGCGAAAATCGAACGTAACCAGGTTTATTTCGTTGGCGATCTCGTGGTATTGAACGAATACTGAGATCGTGCCAAGGAATGGTACAAGTGGAAGCAGAAGACAGGAGTACGTGCGAACAGTACCAAAAACCGCGGAACAATGATGTAATGGGGTGATGTAATGAGGTAATGGAAGCGCAAAATGGCTATAATTGGCACAGTTAAACAAAAGTACATTAAAAACACTGGTACAGTTGGTTATACTAATAATTGTTTCTATTAAACCAGTCGTGTTCTCGTGATAAATGGTGAGTCACTACAGGAGCCCCCCCGCTAGAAAGGGTTTACACTTTCGATAAATAGCGGTTTGAATCGTGGGACTGATCGGCTGACGAGCGATTGTAGGACGGGAAAATTGGCGAACAGGAAAGCGATCGTTGATCGTTGAGTTGCCAACGAAGGTCGTTTTCGGAGAACGGTATCAGGAGCGATGTGCTGTATTTATTGCTTGAGTTGGCATGCCACACCAGAGTGGTTTGTATCCAGCATCTGAAGATTGCGTTCGTAGGGGTCCGGACCAGAAGCGTTGCAGACGTAGGACGAAACCACGTTGAGCCGATGAACCAGAAGCGATCATAACGACCAAGTTCGAGACCAAGCGCATGTCAAGCATTCGAAACCAATATATCGACTGAGTACGTTGACAAGAGCATGGGTGATCAGGCCAGCTTTCGCCAAAGTTGACTGAAGTCGACGGTACCAAACGGAGATGGTCGAAGGCGCGGGCTCGGGAAAACAAAAAGAAGATCAAAAAAGAGAAGAATGTAGCATGCATGTAGTATAGGAATAGTCCTACACCGTATCGGTTGTTCACTCTGCGCCTATTCGCGGAAACGTACGGGTAACCGTACTCGGCGACCGGAACGTGAGACGGCAGTCTCGTTCGCGTCGCGTGAACCTGCAATCTCATCCGAAGTCAAGGGCGGCGTGGTCTGCTGATCTGGACGTGAGACTGTCGTCTCGTCCGTAGACGGTGCAGATGACGCGTGCTGTTGACTGGGACGTGAGAATGAGGTCTCAGGTGTATCTAGCGTAGGACCTGAAGATGGTTTGAGGATACCGCTAGTAGGTTTGATAGGTCTAGACGTGTGCTGTTTTGAGACGATCAATGCCGACGATCTCGACGCGGCCATGTCGATCAACCTTGAAGGTCTTTTCGTGACGAGCGACCACGCGAAAAGGGCCTTCGTAAGGTTGTTGCAAAGGTTTGCGTACCAAATCTACTCGTATGAAAACATGTGGACAGGTAGATAGCTCTCGAGGGAGAGCGACCCGTCGATGTTGTATTCGAGTTGACACCAGAGACAGCGTTCGCATAAATGCAGACAGTCGATGGATGTAGTCTGATTTACTGAAATCAGGTCTGCTCCGTGGTGTGAAGAATTCCCCGGGCAGACGCAATGTTGTGCCGTATACAAGTTCAGCGGCGGAACATTGGATATCTGCCTTCAAGCTCGTTTGAATACCTAAGAGATCGAGCGATAAGGTTTCGTACCAGTCGTCGTTTTCGTGTGCTCGAAGAGCACTTTTAAGTTGACGGTGAAACCTTTCGACTAAACCATTTGAAGCTGTATGGTAGGCGGTAGTGCGTATGCGTTCCGTACCAAGCAGCCGAGTAAGTGAGGAGAATAATGCGGACTCAAATTGTTGTCCTCGGTCAGTTGTGACAGTCGAGGGACAACCGTATAGAGCTATCCTTCATTCTACGAAGCGGTGAGCAACTGTCTCCGCTGTGGTAGTCGTGATGGGTATAGCTTCGGGCCATCTGGTGAAGCGGTCAATGCACGTGAGTATGTGATCATACCCGTGCGATGGTGGCAGTGGTCCTACAATGTCTAAGTGAACGTGATCGAAGCGAGCATCAGGCGTAGCGAAAGTGCCAAGAGGGGCGTCTACGTGCCTGTGCACTTTTGATAGTTGAAATTGTAAGCATCGCTTCGCCCACATACGAACATCTTTATTCATGGACGGCCAGACGTATCGTGAAGCGATGAGACGTAATGTAGCTGCGATACCTGGGTGAGATAATCCATGCAGAGCATCGAATACGAGACGATGGGTCGAGGAAGACCGGTGGAAGTATCACAAAGAATGGTGCCAGAAGTCGTGGCTAGAGGTACTGCCTGATACTGAAGGGACGTAGAGTGTGGTGCTTTTGTACAACTGGGATCGTTTGCTTGGGAAGCGGCCATAGCAGGAAGATCGAGCACCGGCAGAGTAACTGCATTCGTCTGGATTCGTGATAGAGCATCGGCAACACAGTTCGACTTGCCTTGGATATGACGAAGGTCTGTCGTGAACTGCGAGATATAGTACAAATGTCTGCAATCTAGCGGTGAGTAGCGGTCAGACGGCATGCAAAGCATATGTTAAAGGCTTATGGTCGGTGAACAAGATGAATTGACGTCCTACTACTACGTGCCGAAAATGTTTGATGGCGCAGTAGGCTGATAGCAGCTCGCGACCAAAAGCGTTATATCTCGTCTCCGTGGTAGTAAGGCGTCGTGAGAAAAACTCGAGGGGTTGCCAACTACCGGAGATATTTTGTTGCATGACTGCTCCTATAGCAACATCGGATGCATCAACCGCTATACTAAGCGTGGCTGATGGATCGGGATGGGCGAGAAAAGTGACTTGCGCAAGAGCCATTTTGGTTTTAATGAATGCAGTACGTGCAGAATCGTTCGTTTCCGATCTGCGTGGGTTGTCGCGTAGTAAGTCGGTTAGTGGTCGTAACCGTTCTGCCGCGTGTGGGATGAAACGACGGTAGAAGTTAACCAAACCGAGAAAAGCCTTCAGTTCCTTGAGTGAGGACGGCAGGTTGTACTCTTTTATTGCTTGCACTTTGTCCTCACAAGGTAGAATACCCTCTTGCTTGATAACATCACCCAGAAATATTATTTCTCGTTTACCCAACTCGCATTTGTCTGGGTTAACTACTATTCCATTATCCGAAAGGCGTTGGAATAATAGCGTAAGATGTTGATAATGTTCATCTACGTTTGATGATGCGATTAGCAGGTCATCAATATAGACGTGAACAAAATCGAGGTCTCGTACAATGCTATCGATAAACCTTTGAAAAGTTTGAGCAGCATTCCGTAATCCAAATGGCATTCGTAGGAACTCAAACAAACCGAAAGGAGTCGTGATAGCGGTCTTTTCGATATCTTCAAGAGCGACTGGGATCTGATGATATGCTCGTACCAGATCGATCTTGGAAAAGATAGTCGTGCTCTTGAGTGATGCCGTGATGTCGTGTATGTGGGGGATGGGGTAGCTATCAAAGCGCGTAACTACGTTTAGAGCTCGGTAGTCGCCGCATGGTCTCCAACTAACCCTATCTTTTTTGCGCACCATGTGAAGAGGAGAGGCCCATGGACTGTGAGAAGGACGAATAATACCAGTAGCTAGTAAATTGTCAAACTCACGTTTAGCGAAAGCTAATTTGTCCGGTGCCAGTCGGCGAGGTCGTGCCGTGACTGGCGGTCCGCGGGTGACTATGTGGTGTACCACACGATTGGTCACCGATGGAAGCCCCGCGAGTGGTTTAGTGAGTACGGGGAATTTCTCGAATAAAGCGTGGAATTTATCGTCACGCGAGTAAAAAGTGCCGAGGATTCGGTACGCGTTCATGTGGGCTTTACAGCCCATGAATTTGCTGTTCGACGAAGTATCGATTAGCTTCAGCCTACGTGAATCGACAAGCAATTCATAGTGCTGTAGGAAATCGATACCCAGTATGGCTGTGGGGACATCAGCAATGATGAACGTCCACAGATACCGTAGTCGGTTGCCCAGGTTGACCGCGAGTTGTCGTGTACCGTAGGTAGGAATGACTGAGCCATTCGCAGCGCGTAGTCGAAGCACTGTGGCTTGTGACTTGCTGCTACCTCGTGGTACGACAGAAACTTGGGCCCCAGTGTCTACTAGGAACCTAGCGTTTGTGCGATAATCGTGCACATAGAATAAGCGACCAACCTGGGAAGAAGGGCCGGCGAGTACGGCCGCTTTTACTCGCCGGCGCTGGCGTTTCCCGCCTTGTATGAGCATGGTGCTCGACAGCAGCGGGCGCCAGACCCAAAGGACCTATGGAACCAGCACCAACTGTCGCTCGCTTCCGTGGCCGCCTTTAGGCGTGGCTTGGAAGATGCCCTTTTTGGGCGAGTGGTGACGGGTTTGCGAGAACTTGAGCGAGCTCGCGGACCGTAGGGTTGGG